CTGCTGATTCAAGATATGTGTGTATGTCCCTTCAACTGATTGATATCAGAAGCAATTAATACTACTGCTACTTTTCTATCCTTCTAACATTAGGAGTTCATTTGCTGACCACTTGTCCCAATAAGAATAATACTATCATCAATAAGCAGCATACCAACCATATTCCTCCCTCAGATTTTAAAACATACGCCAAGAATCTAAGGTGGCCAATCACTGGTAGAACAAAAAGGTTTATAAACTTACAAAGCTGGATGCAGTGGAGTCAGAGGCAAATTGACCAAGAACACAGGCAATCAGTCCAACTCCAGTTGTGTTGCCAAAGAATGATGCCGTTGTTCTTTCTTCTGCTCTCAACTGTGCTAATGTCCCACTGCCACTGGGGGCTCTGCCGACAGGAGGCAGCTGGGGGACCCTTTCCAGTAACTGGAGAACCTACATAGTACATTTACTACATAAACAAACTCCTTCCTCCTCCTCGCCAGCTTTTATGCTATTAACCTGGAGGTAGGACACCTCATGTAAGGGGCATCTAATGGGGATCTCCTAATTGGTTCCCACCCAAGACTGGCCAGACCCTGGGTGAAAACCAATCAGGAAGGTCTTTCCTGCCTAGTTGTGGAGACCATCTATATGTCAACCCTCATTCAGGGCTGGGAGTTTAAACCCCAGCACTTCAGGAGTTCATGCCCATTTTGCAAGATTAATGCTGTTTGTGATGTGTTTCTCTTTCACTTCTGCTGTCTATTCAGCCTCTGTAAAGTTCTCTCTGTCCCTGATACTTCTTCATTGTAGTGCCTCCTGTTCATGTATACCTTCTCCTCTAGTGGCCCTTTATTACATTCACTGGAGCTCCAAGCAGATGGTAGCTGGTAGCTACTTTCACATGCTCCAGGTTCTTCCAGATTCTAGCATATATAAATCAATGTGTATGTCAAGCTGATGAAAACAGAACAATAGCCATCATTTTTTCCCTGTTCTCCTCTCCCATTCCCAGCCACACCATAAGGTAATAGCTGTCAGGATACAAAACCTGATGGTTATCATTAAACCTTGTAAAGACTCAAGTCTCAAATACTGCTTTAGAAAATCATCTGGAATTGAGAACAGTTAGATTTCAAATATTTTAAAATATAAGTATGCACCAAGAGAAGTAGATAACACTATATACTAAGAAGTGGTAGATTTAAAGCTAGTCATAAGAGAGAGTATTTTACAGAAACCACTGAAGTTATGACTTCTTTTAAGATAGTTTAGGTGAAAGCAACTGTGCTAATTTTGGATTTCAAGAGTTTTCTGCTTTGTGGATAGAAGTGGTTGTATTTTTTCAAATAAATGTGCATCAGATCATACCCCTGAAGTTGCTGTTCATTCAAGACCCACTGAATAGGAATTATTTTTCTTCAGTATAGTTTAAGTTAGTTCATCATGGTGTCAGGTTAGCACAAATATTTCAGGATTAAAGTGTGTGTCAATGTACACCAAGTTAGATTCAATCAAAATATGAACTTCAGTTATGTATTTTAACTTAAATAATAAAACTTTAATCAGAGATATGGCTAAATGCTCTGATCAGTTATAATGGCAAAATAGTTTACTAAACTTAACGCTTGACTAACCTTAAAGAGTAAATCTGTATTTCTTAGTTCCTGAATACATATCTGTCTTCTTTTAAATGGTTATCTGCCTTTTTATTTTTGCTTAAGGGAGGGAGTATGCTGCTTTCACTAATTAGATCTTTTACAAGAGTCTGGTAGTTTAACTTGCTCTGTACACACAGAATCTCCAGCCAAATCTACAGTCTTTGGAGCACTTAACTTGCAGTAACTTTAATTTACAAAGTAATACTGAATAAGTATTTTTTTTCACCCCAGAAAACCTTCAATAAATATGCTTTCTCAAAATTTATCTGCAAAATATATTGTGGATATATGAGGTAATAGAGCTCACTTGGGCTGGAAGTCAGGAGGTCGTAGGTACTGATTTGTTTGTATAGCTAATTGTTGTAAGTGCAAATTCAGCAATATCTTTTTTAATATAAAAATATCCATTGTGAATCACAGCCTGTGAGAATCTAACACTCCACAGAGACTTCTATATATGGAGCTATACATTAATATTCTTCTGCAATGATTAGTGTTCGGGTTTTATTAAAGAATATTGTTTCTCTTTTCTAGTGGTGCAATATGTGTATTGACTTGGTGGCATTCACCAGTGAAATATTCAGAGGAGCTGCCTTCCAGTCTTTGGATGGAATTACTATTTCAGCTAACTGTAAACTGAGAAAGATCTTCACTTTAAAATCCAAGCCTCAAGATACAGCTGAGGAAGATGGTATATTGTAATTACTATGTAGTCCTAATCATAACTGTTCATATTGTAAAATCAAAAGTTTCTTAGTCAGGGAATTGAAAATTTGAAAGAGTACCTGATTTCATTACAATGAAAATGGTAGTATAGCATTTTAAATCTGCTAGTGTTGGACTTTAGGCAACTAATTAAATCTGTGTGTACTCCTTTGTTTAAAACTTTGACTTCCTTAGAAGTACTTTATTGAAGAAATTCTGGCAAGATTTCTCAAGTAGAGAGCTTGTTTTAATGAGAGTATCTTATGCTAATAGCAATTGAGGTTTGGCCAAAAAGAGTGTCTGAAAGGAAGTAGAAAAACTTAGCAGCATGTGCTGTTTAATTTCTTAATTTTGGACATTAGCAGCTGATGAAAGATTTTTTCTTTAGATAATCCAGGACAATACTATAACAAAAAAGGATTATATGAAGCAGAGCTATGAAACTGTTGTAAACACCTCTCTGTGATCTTTAGTGCATTTATCCTAATGTGTCCCTTTTCATTGATAAATTATTACTGGGGTGAGCTGAAAAATGAGAGATTATTTTTGTAATAGAGGAGGATGTTGGTCAAAGGTTTACCAGTCTCCCAGCTAGCATCATAATCCTGAATCATTATTTTTCCAAGGGAGAGAACTTCATTCCTTCCTGATATTTGCAGTAATAAAGGAGAAACCAAAAAAGCATAGCTGGAACTTGTTTTAGAGCAACTCTAGGTATAGTTCAGCTTCAGTTTCATTCAAATTTTCATTTTTGTAGCTTTTGAAGAACACATCTGAAAAAAGGGTTCTGGTTTTTGAAGGAGGAATAGTTAGGAATATTGTAAGCGTAACAAGATGTATCTTCCATTTTGAAAATCTGAATCAATAAGGGGAAGTATGTGATCATCTCTTTTTTTTTTTGGTGGTGAGTTTGGGGAAAAAAAATAATTAAAAAATTACTACAGAATGACTCTGGTAAATTCTTAGCAGGCACTGCAGTTAGAGGCCCCTCTGGCTTTAATTTAATTCTATCAGTGCATTTTTTCCCCTCTCCCATTCTAAACAGTTTTTTAAATGTGTGTAAATGCTATGAATGAGTTCCAAAATTCAAAAATGTAGTTAACATAATGAGTAGACAGCTTTAATAAACTGCATGCATGGTAAAATATTGCACTTTTAATTAATGAATTATCAATTCTGTGATTATTTCACAGCTGGTGGGCATTAGTATATTTTGTATGCTTATGAATTTTCTTATCTAGGCAAGTCTTAAAATTACATTACAACTGAAAGTTTGGCTGTATTAAAATATCTGTATTTCATACCCAATTACAGAAAAACAATAATAGTTTTTATTAATTTTTATTTGTTTTTATTAATTAACTCTCAGTTAACAATCATGATTTGATAAAGCTTTTTTCCTCTCAGATGATCAGACCAGTTAGTTGAACTCCACTGACTGCAGTAATATTGCAACTAGGAATGAGGGTTGTATTCCTTCCCCAAACCTCCTTGGTGGTGGAAGTAGTGATTTTAAGGTGCAATGTGTGTGTTACTCTTTCTTAGTAGTTTGTATACAGTATGTTTTGCATTCTTAGAATAACAGCAAGTGGAAAGGAGAAGCCACACATACTAAGAGATTGTTTCTGTATGAGACCATTGAGATGGAAGAGGAAAGAATTAATCTTCTCTGACCCATGATATTGAGGCATGAGTCTTGATATATGCCTAATTTCTGTTCCCATAGTAATCTTAAGGTTATGTATGGTGGTTTTTTTATCACTAAGTATTGTTTTGCAGCAGTAAGTAATACACTAGTTTGGTGAAAAATGGATTGCAAAAATATGTTCACTACTGAAACATAAGGTGTGACACTTGAATTTTTCTATTAGGGTCTTAATACTTGATCCATTTTTTGTGTTTGGTTTTGGGGTTATGTTTTCATCTCCTTACCCTTGGAAAAGAGGCTCACATTCATTAGCTTACTATATTCAAGTCATATGAAATTTCAAATGAATTTTCACTAGAACATCAAGAATGGTTCAGACTCTGGATACCTTTCTTTGTAGAGAATAACTTTGATAAACTTTGTGTATTTTGGTTGTCAGAAGACAACCAGATCACATTCAACTGTTGCCTGCTGGGACAATGATAGAGAAGTTGACAGCTTTTTAGTTTACCGTGAAAGTGTAATGGTGTCCAAGGTTTGGAATTAAAACTTGTTATATTCTTTATTTGCATTTATGGGACTTGTCTGTTTGCTACTTTAGTCCCACTGATATCAATACCATTTTCAGGTGTTCATTTTGTCTGAAAATCAGTATATTAGTAATAGAATTAAAGCTGAGTTGGAACAAAAATCAACAAAATGTATTTTATGATCCAGTTTTTCTTGTTCACTTGCCAAATAAAAGAAAATTATTTACTATGGCTATTCCAGCCATAGTGTATATTTCTTAAGTTAAATGTATTCAAATTTCTTGACCAAAAAAAAATACACAATATAATTTTAAATTTTACACGCTGTCTCAAAAGTGAACAATCGCAGCAAGTATTTCAAGTTACTGTAATTTATTAAATTGTTATAACCATATGAACTAAAGTACATGTAATCTAGCAAATAATGCAAGTTAAATTTAAACCTGTTGTGTCATCTGAGCAAAGGCCATGGTTTTTGATTCTAGGTATGCGTGTTCCATCTGTGCCATGTGACCCCACAGATACGATTCCTCGAACCTGCCAGCTAAATACAGATGTGCCTCAAGTTACACAGTTGCTGAACTTAACTAAAATTCACAAGCCAGAAATAAAATGCAGGAGCTATCCAGTAACAGGACAAGAAACAGGTATTCCGTTGTATTAAAATACTGTGAATATGACCTATGTGATGTGTACAAATAATAGATTTTTTGTAAATGAGCATGTTAAGAGTGCTAATGTCTTAAAATAAAAGATGACAACTCTTGCATAGCTGTATGTGCACATGAACACAGATACATGTCCTACAGCTTCAGAGATCTGTGTGCAGCCTGAACAATTCTAATTCAAGCATGGGATTTATAAAAACAATGTTTGATGTAAGTCTTCTGAATGTCCTTTGAAATGTGGTTGTTCAGTTGTTACCCTTCTTTTTAAAGTATGTTTACATTACTGGAACATCTCAAAATATGACCATGCAGACTCCTCAGCTTGTATTCTAAAAAAGAAGTCTTGTCTTACTGGTGTTGGAGTTATTCAAATATTTCTGTAAGCTGGAAGATAATTGAATATATAATATAGACTTAGACAGCATTGCACAGATGAGATTTTTTTTTAAATAATCTGGGTAGTCATGTGCCAAGATACAAACTATTGACTTGAATAAAAACTAAGAGACAGAAAGCAGAGGATCAAATTTTACATTTGTGTTATAGCTGAAGGCTAACAGCAGGAGGGCTTTTTTTTGTTTATTCTAGGTTATGTATTGTTTATTATCATTATGAATAATCTCAAAAGAGAAATTAATAATATGGGGACAATTTTCATATGATACGGGTACAAGATTACTAGGGAGTGGGACTAGAGAGTTTTAAACTTGTAAGATGGGCAATCCCCTATGTGTTTTCATGAAAAACACTACAGAGCAAGTAGCATACAGCAAATGTCATATTTGGCTAAACAAAGTTTCCATTTGCTGTTTTATTTCTTATGGCCACTGTGTTGAAAAATTGTGAGCTAGGGACCACTGTACTAGGTAAATGTATAACATGATACCATGTAAAATCTACCTCTGGTGAATGCAAAAGATTGGACATTGGGGAGAAATGTTAACTACAGTTAAGCTTTCAAGGGTCAAAATTAAATGACTTAAGGAAGGAAGTTTATCATTACCATAGATATAGCTCAGTGGAATTCTCAGGTTAATACATTTGAAAACAAAAAAAAACAATCAAAACACCCCACACTACACAAACTGAGTGACAGGAAGTACAAATTCATATGAAATGGAAAAGGTATGAAACCTTTAAATAAATCAGTTTTGCATTATTATCTGAAATGCTTTATACTTTATCAGCTAAACATTATTAAAAAAGATTTTACAGACAGAAGTGATTCAGAGAGAAGCAGCATGAATAAAAAACTCTTATATGAAGATATGCTGAAAACCATTTAAAAATGGCTTAAGAGAGTTTATATAGTAATTATTGATACAAAGAAAGTTCAATGAAAGCTGCTTTTCCTAACTCATGGCACAAAAACAAGGCATCATTTGATGTAATGATGCAATTGAAAACTAAAATCTTGTAAAAGAAAACACCATGTTACACAGTATGACTAAAACACAGAATCCACTGCTACAATAAGCTGGTGAAGAAATTCATATGATTCCAAAATCAGTTGGCCACTTATGTGGATAAGAGTAGTGTCTATGCCGTTGTATTTAGAGTAAGGAAAAACATGGAAGGAAAATTTAATCTTTTACTTCTACATTTCTCCAGCCTTACTCTTAAGAGCTATGTTGAAGGCAGAGTATTTCATGAAGTACCTATGAAAATTCTTGTGTAATTTCTGAACCGTTTGGTTTTGGCCTTGGTTTGAGCTGGATGTCAGACAGGTTATGGGCCTGTTCTAGAATAGAACCATGGTTTTCTATTTAAATTGGCATGTCTGCCTGCATAAGTGTTGTAAGCCAATAATCAGTAGAAACTGCACTTTAGAAACAGATACTAAGATTTGAATGTCAAATTGCCTCAAACAATTGGCTGGGATTTTTTTCACTGAAGTTCCTATTTTGCTTTAAAGCTAGGCATTATTTCCTACCTGAAGTAAAGTTATAGCAAAATTTCATTAAGGCAGATGTCTTTAGAGTCCTTAATGTTTTCATTCAAAATAATGACTCTCTTTAAAATAATTTTGTAATTAGATAAGTTATTTAATAACAGCAATAGAATGAGAAGCACATTGTGCGCATTAATGGAACTCCGTAGTTATAAAATTATTCATAAACAGTAGTGGTCGTAAGGTAACTATGTAAAGAATTTGTGGTGGAACAGAATCAGGTTTTTTTAAATCAGTTGTTGAGTTTTGAAGACAACAGCTACATTTCCAATGAGGAAATAAATCAATGTAGAAAAAAACCATACTTTCTCCCTAGTAATACATTTCATTGATTAGAATTCTAAACATATAAAATATAATTTCCTCCCTCCCAGGATGTTACTGATTTTGTAAATCCAGTTGCACATAACTAATCTCTGTACTCTTTTGTTTCAAAAAAAAAGTTACTCTGTAGAACCGTTTGCAACAGTAAATATTCTGGAATATGTGCAAGTACTTCTTAAAAAAGAAGATGGTAATGGATTTCAAAATGAGAGTATCTTAGATGCTCCATTTCATGTATTTCATTGAGAACTGATAATTTTGCTCTTTTAAAAAATGTTGAGTTGATTGTTATTTTCAGCTCAAACTTGAGAAGTATATTAGCTTCTTACTGCTAGAGCTTAAAAAAAATACACAGTTGATATCTCTATAATCACTCTCTTTACTCTTTTGTTATGTTATTATTGGCTTCTGTACAAACCACAATACTAAGCCTTTAATTTGGCCCACATAATAGTTACAATGTCTTAATAAAGTTTATAATTTTCCCCTTATTTTGTACCACCTTTTACAAATCATTGATTCATCATACTAATACAGGCTAGTAGAACATCCTCTGAGGAGGAAATAGCTCTGAAGGAAGTGAGTGAGAACATCCAGATTAGATAAAGAATCCATTTCCAATACATCTTCACCAGTATAGCCAGTATTAGAAGTGGTGCTGTAGGTAAGGAAGATACATATTTATTCCACTGGTTTTAGCACTTTCTTGGTCTTGAGGATTCTTATCTTGAGTGTTTGAATTCAATGAGTAATAATTTCCACCATTTCTGTTAAAATGCTGTGGAAATACATAAGCAAAGTATTGACCAAAGATATAAGATAAATTGCAGAGAATGATAACTACTGGTGAAATTTAATACTGTAAAAGACAAGACTATTACAACCAACAATAGTATTTAAGGTGTAGCATCTCATGAAACTGAAGAAAAATAAATACTTATTTAAAAATTTAAGAACAACCTTGATAATATGAAAGGTTTAAGAAAATAATTTTTAAGCTTTTTTTCCTGTTTTTTTCTGGCATATGAAAAACAACTCCTGAAGGTTTTGTCATCCATGTTAACCTACCATGGTGATGCTTTTTTTAAGTTGTCAACTTTTGCTCTCACTCGATATACCTCATTAGCAAGGGCAGTCTTTGTTCTACAGCAGCTGAAATGAATGGGAGGGGAGGGGTAAATTTTTGCTTAGGGTAAGACCTTTCATACATTTACTTAAACTGCATTCAGCTTTTTTTACATGTAAGTACCATTTTGGTAATATTCAAGGGCAAATAATACTTTTGTAATACTCTTGCCCTACAACTAGACAAGTTCTGTTGTGAAGTTTGTTTATAAGATTGCTTTTGAAATAGCCAAGAAAACTCTGGAATTCAGTTTCATGGACTAATCAAAAATCAATAACTGCTGGATTGTCAAAATATGAGTGACTGTAAAAACTAACAGAAAAAGAAAGAAAAACTTTATTAAAAAAAAAAAAAACACATAGGAAAATGAATGTTCATTTAAAACAAGATTTGACAGTGCTAGGGTTAATGGTTAGACTTGATGATCTTAAAGGTCTTTCCAACCTAGACAATTCTAAGATTCTAAGACTCAGATTTTACTGTCTGGGCTACAAAGATATACAGCCCTTAGGTGTATGTATATATACAGTAAAATTATTATAACAGCCCTCAGCTGCATGAAAGTGAAATGCCTTCAGTTTAAGGTTTAATCTTTACTTTTTCATTCCATTTTATGAACATAGCATGTGCCCTTTCAGACATGCTTTCCAAATGGCCTTCTTCAAAATGGAAGCTTTGATATGTTTAAGTACATTTCAGCTGGAAAATCATCTTTTTATTAGCTAAACTTTGTTTATTTGATAATCAAAAGCCAAAATTAGTTCTAGTATCATCCACTTTTAATTACACATATTAATTCATTATGCCATCAACATACTTACATGTAGATGTAGGTAATTAATTGCAGTCAATTAATGTGTTCATAAAGAGAGATTTTCATGCAAATCAGCTTTTATAATTGGAGCTAACAACATCCCAAGGTAGTCAGCAAATTACAGAAATTGATGTTAAACCAAGACAGGTCATCTAATCTTGTGAAATGGCAGCTGTTAGCAGCAACCAAATGTCACATCAGGAAAAGGGGAAGAAGGTAATGGCAGAAAATTACTTCTTTTGTTCTTATTAATACAGTAAATAATGATATTTGGTGGCTAATGCATGATTTTTTTTCATTTCCTTTGTGATACTGGAGAAAAAGCTTATCTTGAAATAAGATTAAATAATTCTATGAAAAGTGCTTAGGAGAATTGACAATGTTTTGCTTCTACTTTATTGCTTTGTGAAGGTGCCACACCTCAGCAATTTAACACTAAAGTTGTAGTAAGAAATATAGTTTAAATTTATGATGTCTGAAGAGTTTAAATGAATGTGAAGATATCCTTTATCAGCTCTGGAATGGAGAATTTGCTGACAGTCTTGGAGAATTAAAAAAAGAGGAAAATAGATATAACATGCAGTTCTGCAACCCCAGTGATAAAATTAATACATAACAACAGTCCTTCCCTTTAAAATTTCTTTCAGAATATTAATTTGCATTCCATGTTTTAGTTTCAGTTTGGTTTGCAGACTGGTTGGCATTTTCTGTGCATGAAGAGAATTACAAAAATATATCTACATTTTAAACAGTAAGAAAATAAATAGTGAAAGGAATAGAACATTTTAACAGGAAGAGAGTATGTTTGCAATGTCTGGGCTCAGCCCTGGTAATACAGTAAATTCAGTAGTTTCAAAAAGGAAGCAACATGTAAATAGTTCTCTGAGTTCTGAGTGATACCTTGACAGGCTTGCCTCAGTTTTCTTGCATTATTATTTATTCGTTCTGTTACTAATTAGAGTTGGTTTTTCTTCTGTCAAAAGTTAGATTTTCATTGAAGTTCTAAAGAAATCATGCAAACCTTTTTTTGTTGTTGTTTATAAACAGCCTCTTTTGAAATAAATCTTTAAAGCAAGCAGATTAGAAATACATCTGTGTAATATACCAAAAGTTTCTAGCTTGTATGTAGACCCACTTTTATAAAATGTGCATTTGCTATTCCTACATATTTCTAGAAATTGTACCATAAAGGAACTTAAATTTAATGTATGTTTTGTATTTATAATTCTTTTATTTAAGTTGATTTGGAATAATTGTTAATGTTTATACTTTGTAAGTACTGTAGTTTTTTTAAAAATTATTTTTCTTAACTTAGGTAGCTTGATTAATAGAGGCCAAGGCAATACGTGCAGCAGTAAAGCTCAGGATGTATCACATATTGCATTTGGATCAAAGATCCTTGGGCCACCTCCATCTTCAAACAGAAGAGTCCACTCAAGAGTATCTGGAGAGGTAAAAGGCTTAAATTACAGCAAAACTGCTGGCACGTGTACAAAGGAAGAGATTGACAAGCAGAGGAGTCACAGTAAAGGGCTTTTTCAGAACTGATGTGAGGCTCTGCCTGGAATCTGTGTTTAGTCATGGACTTCTAATCCAAGAGATACTGTAACGTCCAGTGGAGGGCAAGTAAACTGCTTGGGTGGCTACAGCACGTGAAGATGGGTTCAGTCGGCCCCAGGAGAGAAGGCCAAGGAAGAACGTAGTTGCTCTTTTCAGCTTATGCAGGGCTGTATGGAAGACAGGCCCAGATTCTTCTGAGGTCCAGGGAGAGGGCAAGAGGCAGCAGGCCCAGACTGCAGGGAAACTCAGACTGAGTATAACAAAATAGAATAGTTCAGCTTTAGGCCTACAGAGGTCTCTGCCTGCTGACATTACTCTGATTTCTTATCATCCTTATTTTTCTGAATTTTTCATTCTAGACTGATGTCATTTTTGCACGTGTAAATATTTTTCCTTATGATGAGAGCTATGATGCAGAGCAGAGACTGCATTTTGGTGTGCTCCAAGTGGATGGTAGTCAGCCGTACAGTAGCTCATGTGATGCTGTCAGTTGCAATGCCAGGGAAAACAGCTCGTCTCACACAGCCAGCAAACAATATGCAGGTTTTAGAAATCCCATTGGGACTACAATTCCTGGTTTAACACTGAATGAAGCATCCAGCCAAAGGAAGTAGGCTCTTCTGTAAGAAGTCAGTTGAATGTTAAGATGTAAAATGAGATGCCTTTCTCCAGAGAAGAAAGGACTCCTTCTACAGTCTGGAATAGACACAAGTTTCACTGTCTTTTATTTCGGATCGTGAATTTTAGGTTTGGGTTTTTTTCCCCTTTGCTTTGCTTTATTTCCCTTTCAAGCAATGAAAAAAACCAACCCTGCCTGTTACTACACTATTAAGATTGAAGATACCACACAGAACTGTATCTACCACAAAATTTCCTGAAAATATAGTATTTTTTAAAAAAAGATTTAGAAACATTTGATTAATAAGCTTAATTCAAAATGTGTTTACTTTTGAGTGTTTTGAAAGCTGTTATTTTTTTGTCTTTCATTAAGAAAACAATGTCTTTCAAGGTACCAAAGACCTGGAGTGACAAAAGTAATAGATCATGCCGACTTCAAAGTTCAGGAAAGGGAACTGAATCTGCACAAGACATTGCGAGACTAGAGCTAACATTCTCATCATGCAATGATTCTTTAGATCAAGGAAGCAAAAGAAATACTCTCGAAACTACTAAAGATGTATGTCAAAATGGTAAGAGCATAAAGCAAAGAACATGTAGACTTCACAAACTGCCAAAAATCTTTGCATGATTCTGACAGAACATAAGACTTATTTCTGTTTTTCTACTCCTTTACCTTGTTAGCTACTGAAGATATTTATATTAAATCATGGCTTATTCTCCTGTATGACCTTGAATAAATGCTCATTCTCTCTGTAGGTATTTGTATTTTAAGTGTTTGGGCCAGGGATCACCATCTGCTGGTGGTAGCCACAGGTTTTACACATACTACACTTTCCTTCATGCTGTGTATATAACTGGGCTACTGCAGTGGTTATTGCTTATTTTGCAGATTTTTGCAAGCCTGTTTTTTTATAAATTCAGTGGTTTGCCCTTCTCCCATACCTAGTGTTAGGTTTTTACTTTCTTGACTATCATATTCCTGCCACCCTGTAAGATTCCCCTGCTCTTTGGAAGATGCTGGTATCCCAGGACAGTGCCACTCCATATGCTGTTTTTCCATGCCTCAAGTAAGAAAAGCCCTCAATACGAGTGTTAACATGCATTTCATAAGCTTCTGGGTTGTATTTCAGACCCTGCAATGCAGACTTGGAAAACCTCTGAGCGTGGAGGAGATTTTCAGCTCGCCTCACCACAAGGACCGTCAGCAAGCAAGAACAGCCATGAGAGATTATCTCTAAAAACTGCAGCCAAAACCACATGGGATATAACCAGTGGTATGGTACTCATTTTATGTTATGTATGGTGTGGGGGACTATCTGTTGTGAATTTCAGAGTACCCAGCAGCAGTTCACAAAAGATATAAACATCTGTGTTGTGGGGGATTATGGAAATCACACACCCTGCAGCAGAATTGCTTTTGAGCATTGATAAAGATTTGCAGGATTAAGCAGAGCAGAGAGCAGTGAATGAGTGGCAAAAAAAAATTCCACGCTCTCATGATTAAAGGGAAAACTGAAAATAATTTATTCTTTAAATCCCTATTAAAATTAATGCTAAAGTCTCTAAACATCAAATGTACAAGACATTTTACTTATGAGAACACAAGGGCCTCTATCCAGTGCTAGAATTTCAGAAAAATGAATTGACACTTGTTATTTTATGTAAATATAAGTGATATGAGAAGATACACCTATGACAAGTCATTGGCACAAACCCACATTCCCCAAGCAAGTGCAAGCTTACATGGTTTCTGGCTCTCCATTTATAATGTGGTCAAAGCAAGTTGTATCAATAAGAATCATACACTTCTCTTATCACCAGGCTTAAAAGCCTCAAGGATTCTTGAACCCTATGTAGCCATATCCTATGGTCATCTTGGGGCAGTACTGCACTTGTTCTGCCATTAGCTTGAGTAAATATTAATTTAATTTTTTTGAGGAGAGGATTCATAAATGATTATTCTTACTACCTTAGAGGTTAGTCACTGCTATTTATCATAATATATTTTAGATTTATTATAGACCTCAAATCACCTTCTACAGCCAGTGTGCAGTACCTTTTCCAAGGTAAATTGTTTTCAAGCAAGGGAAAAATAAAAAGAGTGAGCACTGCTTATAGTCTGCCAATCTTATTTATACGATGCTGAAACCTGCATTAAAATGTTAGGCTGCAATTAGAAGCTTTAGCATACGTCTGACTGCATACAAGGACTAATTAGATGTTCATGTGATCATTCTTCCATTTATCCTGTTTGCTGCAATGTTACGATTACATAGTAATTTGCATATTGTGCTAAGAAAATACTCAAAATTGTTCATTACAATTGACATAGAAATGATAAGTTAAATAAATTCCAGTACAGTTTGTGGTGGAGAGATAATAGGATTTGATTTGGTCCAAAACACCCCATATCTTTCACTTGTAGACTACTAATAAAATGTTACTCTGACTACAGGTTACAGAAGTTGCTGAACTCTGTAGCCAGCAAAAAATGTCATCTGAAAACCTTCCAGATTTTTCTGTCTTCCCCTGCACATTTCATTAAAAATAAGTACTGTGGTGGACAAATTAGTATTTGCATTTAACTCACTACTAAGTCAAGTATATTCTTCAACATCTCTGGAAATTAGTGTTCTTTACAGAGGAGGTTAGATTAAAAAAGCAGAACATTCAGACTAAATATTGTACAGACACTAAATATTTTAAAGTAACTCTTTAAACTTCTGAAGCACTTTTGATCTAGGTAAAGTCTTTGCTTTACAGTGGTGACTAAAGTGACATGTAAGAAGTTTTTGGATGTCTGTGGCAGAGCCAGAGTAGGAGTCAGCAGTTTAAGCTTCTAATTGCCTCCTCTTCTCTAAAATCTAGACAAAACTATTGCTTAAGGTATTTTTCATGTTTTGACATTTTATTCAAAACTGACTTAAAAATATCAAAACCCAAGTGATTTATCACCTGGATTCTGCTTCAGAATTCATTATAAAATTTTACCTGTAATGACCAGTGCAAATTAATCAGCAACAACAGCATCTGAAGTCATTCTAGAGTAAGAATAGAACAGGTGATACTGCAGTTAAGGAAGTTGGTTAAGTTAGTAGGCCATAATAAAAATTAAGCCACTCCTCTCTACTCATTCATAGTCCTTTGTGGATAAAAACTAATATATTCTCTTGAAGTGGATTGTACACTAAATGTATAACCACTTGTTACAGTGTTCTGAGTTATTATTGCATTTTTGAAAACTGCAAAGGTAGCACAGTACATGTCAAATTTGCCTATTGGACAAATGATTGAGTACTTTAAAATACTGATTTAGTGCAAAAGAGCTTTTTAATGATGTCTTCTGCTGAACACTTGCCCAACATAAAATATTACCATTAACAGTCAGACCAGCAACCAAACTCCTCCCTCCACTACCACATCATACACCAGAGATCCAAAGCACCAGAGAATTCGAGGGAGGAACAAGTGCATGCACTCACCCACTGCAAAGAATGTGAAGAAGGGAGCAAGCTGGCCAAGGAACCATGCCATGAGAGATGGAATCGGCCAGGCAATGAGTCCCAGAGAGAAATTCATGATCTTGCTCTGCCACCCTGGGAAACCCACTTCCTATGCAGGGCCAGGGAGCCCTTTCAATAACCATAACAGCAAACACACTGTGTAGACAAACCACCCAACTCTACTACAGGCAGAATCAGCCCTTATAGAGATGGCTTTTTGCCCCACCTCCAAGTTACTGTGGAAGGTGGGGGCACCTGGTGGTGATCTCCTCATCAGTTCCCACCCAAGGCTGGCCAGACACTGGGTGAAAACCAGTCTTTCTTGCCTGGTTGTGGACATCATCCATATGCCAACTCTCATTCAGGGCTGGGGGTTTAAACCCCAGCACTTCATTATGTTAGGTCACATAATCAATTGGGGAAAAAAAACATTCCTGAGTCTCTGTTCTTAGCATCCTAATACTGTGTTCAGCTTCATGTGAAAACTTGCTGAGAAGATTCCTCTTTTGTTTCATTTTTATGAGGGAAGTGATTACTTTAAAAATGCAGTTTATATACAGATATTACAGTGAAAATGCAAAAACTGTGAAATGTGAGTTCACTATTTTCTTTTATGATTTCAGTTGTTTTATTCACATACCACCTTTCACATGTAATTCCAATGCCTAGAAAAATACATTATCACAGTGTGGCACAATCTTGAGTGATCAAAGGAAGATTCTGCTTTAGTATCTTCCTTTGAAAAACTTGTAGTTACTGATCAGAATGAAAGGCCATTTGGTTTACACAAGTGAAGGGTATTTCTTAAAATTTTTGAATAGTCTCACTCATTTCTTGAAGCTCTTGAAAAAAACTAGTCCAAAATATCTCTGAAATAAATGGCATTACTAATACATTCATCTTTAAGTCTTCTATGAATTAAAAGCAAGGTGAGATTTCTATACATTTTTTAAAACTACTTTTTATGTACAGTAGACAATGATCTACTAATTGTTTTAAACTAGCATAATTATTTAATATAAAAAGAGTTAACTCGAAAAGCCTTGGTACTTCTGACTATAGATGGTCCTCATGCAGAGACTGAAAAATAGTCTCTTCTGTACCAAGTGGGTGCAAGCCATGAATGTACAAGATGTGTAAGTCTCTACTTCTCACTAGTTCCTAATACAAACCACTGTTTAGGTTATTAACTGGAGTATTGTAGCTTCACTAGCTATCTTCAGTAATCTGGAAAAATCACAGCAACCCAGTAAAAAGGCAGCTGTTTCTCCTGGTGTCTCATTCTTCTTTCTTTTGCCTTCACTTATGGTGGTTCAGACTTTTTTTTTCCCTCCAAAGCTGCTGAATCTGCCTGCAGTGATAATTATCTTTAACAAAAAGAAGAAGTAAACTTACTGTCTTCTGTGACAGCAAGCCTTTTATTATTGCAGTGCTACTTTATTACAGTTTTAGTATTTTTTATTGAGGCTTTAATACGCTTGGTGGTAACTTTATTTTATGGAGCCAGAAAGCTTCAAGATCTAGTAAATAATCCACACCACACTACCTTTAATGAAGATAAGGGAGTACTGCATACTTGAGCAATTCTCCTTTTCTCAGATGCTATTTCAGATTGGTTTTAATCAATCAAATTGACATTTTTTTTCTGTACCATCATGCCAAACAGCAAAATATAAGTTAACAGTAAGAATAAAAAAATGGCCTTTTATCTGGTGCACCCAATCTTTAAATCCATTTCTCTAGTTTATTCTTTGTTTTAAAATTGGCAGATTAGTACTGCCTGTATTCAGGGAAACATGGTGAAACAGATATCTTCATACATTTTTCATGTCACACTTTTTCATCAGAGCTGTATTTTGAAATTGAGATTTAAACCGTTAAGTTCTGGACATAAAAGAAACTGTAGAATTTCAGCAATAAAGAAGCAGCAGATTGTAATATTATGAACTTTCCACCAACTATATGTGATTTTTTTTTAAATGTCAGCCACAAAAAAAAAAGGCAATAGAAAAAGATTAACAGCCAAATTTAATAAAATTATTTTTTCCTATAATAAAATTCAGTTGAACAGTTTCAAATCTTAACAGCTAAATAATTCCAGACTTGCAAATTGCAGGCTTGTATGTCATATATCAGAGCCTGTGGAGTTTTTGAGCTGTGAACTGGAAATGTTTTGATTAACCTTGCCTCACTTAGAAAGCAGCCTGATCTTTTTCATTGCATCCTCATCACTCTTCCAGTTGTAGAAATCTGATAAGCAGAATGTTTATGTATTACAAAAACTTATTTTGCTGTACAACTTCCAGAGGAAACAAGAGTGATCAGGATAACATGCAATTTACATATATGGCATTAAAATAAACATTGTCCATTTCAGATGAGTGGGTGTTTCCAGAAACTTTCACTGAGAGTATTCAGCTGGATGTGAGTGAACAGTTCATAGCTACTGAAGATTCAGCCTGCCATAGTTTAACCTCACCACAGAATGCCTCTGTTGAACTTCACAGCAGTGAAATAGATGATCACCAAGTGAAAAATAAAGATATTTTCACATTTTCATCAAGACCTCATGGGAAGTCTCCCAATGTGTCACCAGAATGTTCCATTTTCCCTTTGGATTTGAAGCAAGACAGTAATGGAGTACATGGGAAAACCCAAATTGAAGATAACTTTCAAGGAACTGACAGCAGTGAAGAGGTAGGCCACTTTGTACATAAAATTCTTGATAAAGTAGTCTTCATCCTAAAACTCCTAGAGTGAAATGCTGCCTTCAGGCTAGACAGAGAGGATAAATCATCTTTTCCCCATACACCTATGGGTAGATTTGTCTTTGTCAGGTTGCTGTGTCTAACTGGGTACAGGAGACAAAATACAGGTGTACCCTCTGTAACAGGTGGACAAAAGAAACCTAACTCTGTCAGCCCCTCTTGTAACAGAGAGAGATGGGAGCATCATGCAGCATTACAAAAAAGATCTTAGGAGAGCCTGCTTTGTAGCTTTGAGTGAGATGTAAGTCTGTTACGGTTGAGCAAGTGTGCAGTAGATAAGGCTTCACTGTGCCTTTTAAGACTGTAAGCAGGAAATGTTTTGCTCACCAAGACTGTCAAAAGTGAATTAAGAAATTCCAGCTTTTTAATGGCACTTGATGGTTGGTATTTCTGCTTTATATCCTGTCTGAGCTGTGTCAGCCGACTTTTGCAATGTGCAAATTTTTCAGCAATAAAATTAATGAAAGAAAAGAAATGTTTTTAACAAATATATCAACTGATATTATATAGAAAGTCAGCAAAATGTCAACTCACTGAATAGTTGAATTGTGTCATTACAGTAACTGCTAAGAGTTTCTACCTTAAAGAACATTCTAGTGTATTTAATTTTTAATTATAAAATCTGTTTCTTAGCATTCTGATCTGTTGCTCATAGCTGAGAAATAAAATGCAACCCAGTTACCTAATACCAAGATGGACTGAACTTAACTGCTGTATATTCTGTATTTCTGAGAAACCAAACTGATGATGGTAATTATAAGAAACTATGTGGGGCAGTATATTATTTATTAACTTAAAGACATAATACTGTTATTTCAAACAAAGTTCCAGAATTTCAGAATTAAATCTCTTTCAATCAAGCTAGTAGTTCATGATCAGTGCTGTGTGGGATACCATTCTGAAGATACAGAACTGTTTGGATTTCAAAGAATTTCTTTGCCTGTTACGCTCATGGAAAGTCAGAGATGTTACTGTAGAAGCTAGGTTAAGAAAATATTTCCATAAACTAAGAATTATGGAAGCTTTCCAGCACTGTCATCTGCTCAGCTTCAATAGTTTCCAATTTCATTGTTTTTGAGGGGGGAGGAAGGGGTGGGTGCTATTCAAGTTCTTTATGAAAATACATCTCCAGCAGTTTAAAAATGGCAAATTAAATTTCTAATGAGGTACCAAACAGGTAAAGGCCATGCTATGATAAATGAGTTGAAAATAGTGTCTTTCAAAACACGGTGCATATGGCATACTTAACTGATGAATTATAAAGAAAGACAAATCTAAATGAGTTAATAAAAAGCTAAATTAGTAATTCAGCTTTGCTGGTGCTTAAGTGTTTATTGAAGGTAGCTAACTCTCCAGGCCATCATTTTTTTCAAGGAAAACAACTCTATCTGGAGTTTTTCTTCAGAGATGCAGCGCCAAGCACACAAAGAGAAAGCAGGAGCCAAGTACTCCTGCTCTTACAGCAGAAGAATGATGTTGAGGCACATCAATGTCTGCTCTAGAGCCTTGATGCTAGAGACTGATAGAGGATCCCTACCTCTTGTAAAAAGATGTAAGATATTATATAAACTGAAAACTTTTCTTTGACTATATGCTAGAGGTTTGCTGGTGCTTAAGTGTTTATTGAAGGTAGCTAACTCTCCAGGCCATCATTTTTTTCAAGGAAAAAAACTCTATCTGGAGTTTTTCTTCAGAGATGCAGCGCCAAGCACACAAAGAGAAAGCAGGAGCCAAGTACTCCTGCTCTTACAGCACAAGAATGATGTTGAGGCACATCAATGTCTGCTCTAGAGCCTTGATGCTAGAGAGACTGATAGAGTATCCCTACCTCTTGTAAAAAGATTTAAGATATTATATAAAATGAAAACTTTTCTTTGACTATGTGCTAGAGGTATGCTAGGAAACAGCCTTTCTTTCATTAATTATCCCTGGATGCAAACTGCTTTAAATAGCATCAGCACTGCAGCTGGAGGTCCATTAGACTTACAAAGCTAGAAGATAATTACATTAAACAAATCTACAGCATGCTAACAAATTATCAAGAGTGTTTTTCTCAGTCTAACTACTACATTAGTAATTCATAGTTAAGCCTTTCTTTCATGTGAAAGAAGTCACTGAACCAGCAAATTACTTAGCAGTCATATTCTGGCCATATTCATCCACTTCTTTGTACAGATATATTCTATGTTGCTTCATGAAGTCAGCATTATACCGATAGTCTGGATATACATTTAATATTCATATTGCTCTACTTTACATTGCTGAAGTAAACTAGAAAACAGTTATTTCAAGCACTGAAAATACAGGAAAGAGGATCCTAGAAAAGCAATGATGGCTGAACATAAAACTACTAACTTAATGGTATCCATTTTAGCACAGTTTAAGGTATATGTAAAATTACCCAAATTCTTCAGCATAACCATAATTTTTCCCAGTTTAACTCACTAGTATCTGCTGAATCTTGCAGTACTTTTAAAATATATCTTAGTCTTAAATGCTGAAATAAGCTATAATGTTACAGGTTTTCACAATATTATCCTTTCTTCTGATCATTGTATTACAGGTTTCTATGAAATTCAAATACATTATTTTTGTATATAACACATGGACATGCTCTTGAACTATATTAAATAAGATAGCTACCTCGACCTACAATTTAAATAATTGCATGTGATCATAAACTGCCTTCTCCTGGAAAACAGAAGTAAAACTTAGTTTTATTAAAAAAAACCAAACAAACCAACATATATTTTGTGTACCTTTGTAGTCTAAATATCTTGGGACTGCTAAAAAGGCCAAAAGTTTTCCTTTAGGTTTTTATGTCACTGCCTCAAATGACAAAATTACAGTTAAAGGGGCTAAATCCCAGTTTCATCCTTGTCTACATCTGAACTTAGCGGAGCTGCAAAGGAGAATTTTGTTCTTTACTGAATTGTAAGATATAAGAGACAGGTTATGCATCAGGATAAATTTCAAATAAGTGAACACTGATTCTCTTTATATTGCTTATGCTGAGAGCCGTAAGATACGCAAAGTATCTATGCTGGAATTATATGGTTTGTGTAACTTCTGGAAGGAAATGCTTCAGCCTGCACACTGAAAACAGCAAGTATTTATAAATTCCCTTTAGTGGTTACTAATTAGTCACTGAAATAGTTCAGTGCTGTTATTCAATTATCAGAGTCAAATAATCAGTAAAGGATAAAAATTGCTTCTCCTCTTGGAACCATTCACCATCAAGTGACTTATTTTGTAATTATATGAATGTCCATGCTTTCAGCTCAAATTTCCATCAGAGAAATAATTCATTATTGTATAATTAAACTTCTCATGGCAGCATTTACGGATTCTGTCAAACCCAGAGCAAAACCAAGAGCTCTGCAGATTGCCGAGTTGTGTGACTGTGGCAGGTGTGACCACATGTCACCTAGTGCTATCAAAAATGTTGGTTTAACCGGCAAGTTCTTCAGTGAAGCCTTCAATGAAGAAATTGAGAATTTTTCTGTCCTTATACAATTCAAAGAATAAAGAAATAAGATTAAGTAAGATAATGTACCCATAACAAAGGCCAAAAGATAATTTCATTCTGATACTTCAGTATTAAAGCTCAGCATACAAAGGGACAATATCCCCTCTGCTCCTAGTAGGTGGCCCTCTACAGTCATTAAAATGATGGTCTTAAAATTACAGCCCTGCAAGAGCAATCAGTTTTATGTATCCAGAACTGCCCATCTGCATGTTCTTTCAAGGAATACAATACATCAGTAGAAGTGCTCATTCCTCAGGAAAATCATTCTTATCTCAGTTTACATATGCTGCCCTATAGTTAATCAGGCAAACTTTATTGATGTTTCTGGCACCATTTCATGATTTAGTATTTAACAAATTGGTTTAGGACCTAAATATGGATGGCTGAAGAGACATGGAAAGGTGGGAGGAATTTAAGCTTCTGATAAATCAAAATTATCCATTTATCTCTAATGTGTGGGGGGAAAAAAATTACATTTTCTTTAGTAATCTTCCATCTTACGTGAACCTATCTTACTGTGGCTTTCCAGCAAAGATTTTAAGATAACAAGTGGCATATAAAAATCCATGAAAAACCGAAAAATACATGTTTGTTTTTCAAGGATGTTACTAAGTGAGGGAATAAAATTATAAACTTCCAAAACATATATCATTAATATAATTGAGTGATTATTTTCCTGAATGTGCATTTCATTCTGTGTAATCCAGCTGTGAATTCACAGAAGTCAGTAACAAACCTGAATCATTTTCATTTTGCACCTTGGCTATGAGAGGCATACTGAAGATGCTGTTTTGGTATCTTTTTGAATCTTGTCATATATACTGTCTTATGTCCAGTGTGGTAGCATCTGGCAGAGCACCAGCATGTCCAGATGAAGCTGAGGACACTCTCATGCTTTCTTCCCTGAGAAAAAGAACATGGAGGCAAACACTAGATGTTCGTCCCCATTATTTTTCTTTCCAGGTGTTCAGATTTGCTGTTTCTTGTTGAGATCAGGTATGAGTGAAGATCATAAAATTAATTCATGGGATACTTTGCAGAAACATTGTTATAAGTATGAGGGTAACAAACTAACCTAAATTCTTAAATTATATTCAAATGGTACTGAATATAATAGTCAATGGTATTATCAGAGGTGAACAAAGTGATCTCAGCAGGATTTTTACTGTTTACACAAGTTGCAGATGTGATGTGAAAATACAGAATATTAATAATTCAGTGGAAAGACATCATTGTTGTGGACTTTTTGCTTACTTTTGGTTTACAGTTGTAATAATTTTTTTTAAAATGATGATTTTCACGTAACACGTGTTTTGGAGGTTACTAGCATTGTAAATTTGGGCCAGTGTCTTGGAAAATGTCATCTTATCTCCCACTCCTTCTCTTTCCACTTTCTACTTTTCACTACTTGAGGTGTAAGAATGTGTATGGTATACTCAGTATAGCTGCCAGGAAGAGCAGCTGGTTTGCAGAATCCTTGCAAATTTAGAATTAGGTAGCAGAGATTAAAGAGCTGTTTGGAAGCATTAAGGTTATGTAAAACTGTATTGTGTGATGATGAGAGGGAATCACTCTTGCTTTGTTTCCTAAATTCAGGATGACAACAGTGAAATCATCCAGGGTATTGAGAACCTGGAGATCAGCAGCAGCAGGCAAGGAACATCTGATTCAGCAGCTTTTACAGAGATCACATTAGAGGGAATGTCATGGAGAAATGAATACTGGAAGGATAAGGGACACAGCAAACATAACCACGAAGAGACCATCTTATCAAAACCACAAAGTTCCCCTGTGAGAAAAATAGATTTTGTTAACTCTCAGAGAAGCTTAAAGCCTACCCTTTCTCTTTCTCCAACTGGAATTAAATCAGAATTCTTTAAAGTAATACCAAATGGATCTGAACAATATGGATCTGAAATATTTGAAGGAGTTCCTGATGAATTAAAAAGATCCATCAGTAGAAAGTCTCTCAAAAACTTCTCAAGAGAAAATTCATGTCTGACAACAGAGACTTGTGTAAGTGACTTTTACTTTGAAATTAAATTACTGCATTGTATACAGAAACTGTATTAAATATACCCATTTGCATGAGGTGAAATGTAATATGGTCTTCATCCAGATATATTCTGGTTCCATAACAGTATTTACCAAGCTCAGTCTGTTGAAAGTTTATTTCATAGGGTTTTTTGTGGCACACAAAATAGTACTCCAAATAAAACAGAAATCACAGAGATTTATACATAAGCAGGGGTGTCATTGAGCAACTCACATCTTGGAAGTATGTGAGATAGAAAGTAGTTTGGGGCTGAAAGATTACAAAGGAAAACTGACAGATTTTGAACCCTGAAAAATAGTAGATTATGTGATTGAGGGCCAGCAGTAAGGCTGTGTCATAGGCTAAACTGCCAGGCTACTAAAGGAATTGTTACATTCAGCAAAGTGATGCTTTATTCCTATTTTTTTTCTTCTCCTTGTGGAAACATGCAGCAATTCAAACAACAAGTTTGAAGCTAATTATGTTTTCAAATATTTTCTAATCTGTAATGCTTGTCTTTCTTAGCTTACAATGATGTGCTTTGAATTGTGCTTTGAGTCAGAAACTGGAGCTTAAGAATCAAGTGTATTCTGCAAATCACAAATGAGACAGTATATTAGTGTTCCATGGTTTTGGATAGAATTTAGAGGGGGCTTAGAATTGCTGAAGATCCATATCTTTTGATATGTGACCTCTTCTCTAAATGTGTTGTGAGTAGATTAGATTTATTGCTGAGCATCTGAAAGCAGAACAGGCCAAACTTCTTCCTCAGGCTTCAGAGATCTGTTTTTCAGACATCAGCTGATACCCTGTGAGACCAAAGACTTAGATAGCCAGCATCTTCTGCCCAGCAGTGTTCTGTCATACATGACTAGGGGAAGAGGACAGAGCAGGCATCCAGGGATACCTCCCCAGCTTGCCGTGCAGACTTCCTTCCAGTAGTCCATATCTTAGCAATTTCTTCAGTGAAAGGTGTTGGCTTTGTGGTAAATAACTGGTGGTGGAATTTTTTTCAGGTTTTTTTTTTTTTTACACAGATTTGTGTAGTTGCTTTTTTATCTATCTAGCCTTTGCTTTGTGACAGTGAATTTCAGAGTTTAACTTCTATCTGTGGGAAAAAATACATATCTCCTTGTATTTTTTTTTTGAATGCACTATCTCATTCCTGGTTTCTTCTCATTCTTGCGTCATAAGAAACAGTGAATAATCTTTTTTTTATTATTGTTATTATTCTTACCTCTGCCACTTACTGTTGGCTGTGTATCATATCCCCCTGCAATTGTCTCTTCCACAGGTCAAGGAGTTTTATGGTATTTAGTCCCAGGATTGCTGGTTTGAGAATTTTTTAAAAATATTTTTTACCCAAAGATGTTGAATCTAGCTACTCCAGAATCACAGAATGGCAGGGGTTGGAAGGGGCCTCTGAGGGTCATCTAGTCTAGCCCCTCTGCTAAAGCAGATTCACCTAGAGCAGGTTTCTCAGGTTTGCATCCAGGCAGGTTTTGAAAGTCCAGAGAAGACTCCACGACCCTCTGGGCAGCCTGTTCCAGGGCTCCATCACTCTCAAAGAAGTTTTTCTTTATGTTCAGATGGAACCTCCTGTGTTCCCGTTTGTGCCTGTTGTGCTGTTTAGTATGAAAAGGTATTAGTATGAAAAGGTGGAATGGGGCAAAGCTGGCAGTGGGCAGATTCAAGGCTGGACATGAGGAAGAAGTTCTTCCCCATGAGAGTGGTGAGACCCTGGAATGGGTTGCCCTGGGAGGTGGTTTAAAGACACCATCCCTGGGGGTCTTTAAGGCCAGGCTGGATGAGGCTCTGGGCAGCCTGATCTAGTGGGAGGTGTCCCTGCTCATGGCAGAGGGGTTGGAACTGGGTGACCCTTGTGGTCCCTTCCAACCCTGACAGATTCTGATCTGTTTTAGCAGAGGACTTTAGAGCCCTAATGGCTCAATGTTTGGACTTGATGATCTTGAAGGTCCCTTCCAACCTAAAGGATTCTATGATTCTATGATTAGAGTAAGAGTTCACAGAGTACTCTCTTATAATCTGCTCATACAGAGGACTGGTAAAGAAAAAATTGCTTAACCAACTCTTCCTGCAATCAATTTGCTAACTACTTAATACACTTTCAGGACCTGGTTGCTTGCAATGTTTTATTCATGTTTTAATAGAGTTCTCTGTTATTAAGTTCAAATATTTTTAATTAAGAAAGAAGTACAGCCCTCTGGGTAATATCACAAGCATGTAGATAGCTGGTAATTAAAGTTTTCCGCACGTATAACTACAATCAAACAATTCTGAATAAATCATTTGAACCTAGAAGAATGCAAACGTCATAATATGAAAAAATCCTTTCAACAACAGGTTTCATCAACCTAACAAATGTTTTTTAAATGCTTAATAAAAATATTCTATCATAAGGGGAGCATATGCTAAAAGACAAGATAAGGTTTTAATTACTAAATTAAACAGTAATTTTAGACAAATTTACAAGTATTATACCTTATATAAAAAGTTTCTCAAAAAATAAAAAGTGAATTTAGCTTCAAATTTGATTTTCAAATTATCTTTTTGAAAATTGGGTAAGACAGTATAAAATTTGTGAAGAGTCTTTTTTGAGTAACCATCTGAAGCTGCAGAATAAATAGTCCAAACAACTTCTCCTTTATTACAAGGAGTTTATTGTACAGGGTGTTTAACACAAAATTGTGAGCATGTCTGTTCTCCTTTCTAAGTATGGTATTTTTAGTGAGACATTACAAGAAAAGAAAACAGAATGACAATTTGAAATAAGGTGTGGGGGGAAAAACCAATTGTTTTGTAAAAAATTCAAAAATCTATGCACTCTTCTTCATAGATGTAAAGGATGCAAAGGAAAGACAAGCAGGAGTGGGCAATGCTTTGCCTTTAATAAAAAGAGAATGAGAAAAATGTTCTTTCAATGCTTAGTGATTTTATTCTGTATAGCACTAGTTCATGCTGTCATTTTAATGACTGCATGCCAATTGCTTCTTATATGAGGTAAGAAAGATAAGCCAAAGCTTCTCTTATAGTAATCCAATAAATGCAGAAGGCTTCTATATAGGAAAATTAACAGGAAATAAGCACCTTCAGTATGATCAATAAAAGTTATAGCACCTGTAGATCTGGTAGAATACTGATAGATGAGAGCAAAGCAAACTTTCCAGGTGTAACATAGCAAGGTTCAGATAAAGGGAATAAATAACTAATAGTAGCTGAGCTGACAAAATACATTCAGTAAGGGTCTGGGGAAAACATCATGTATTATTTTAGGATTAAAAATGATAGTAATAATCACACTGTTCAGGAATGAAGCATAGACCTCAAAAGCCAGAGGTAAAAGAGGTGTGGCACCTGTGCTAACAGTTTCTGTCATCTTTTTATACCATGTACAAAATGGTAGACTACATTTATCTGTGCCAGTGAGTTCTTGAGGTGATTCTGTAGGAAAAGTCTTTGCAAAGTCGTTTGAAATACGTATCTAAAAATAAAAAAAAAGTTTGCAATAGGCTTTAGAATTCTTTTTCACAAAGATTTACATACTTGCACATGTAACTGTTTCCATGTGAGCACCCTTCAGTCATAAATCCTGATTTAGGTGATATATTTACTTGCTGATTGTCAGTTTGCAGGCACACTTCCCATCAAAGGGGGTTTACTTTGTTATTTCAGTGCTAATTTTCTTTTTGACTGGTTATGTGCAATAGATGATTTTAAGTGAAATCTAATAGCCTGGTACTCAGAATGAAAGGTCAAAATTATATGTAGAGTTGCTAGTCCCAAAAATTTAATGTTTTTCTTAAGGAGTTCTTTAAACAAAGATGGTGTAATAGCAGCTTGGGTGAACTTATATCATGAGGTTTTGTGTGACACAAGTACAAACTGCAAAATAGTTACTACATGGTCTTAGCTTTTGGCCTGTGGATCAAGTTTCATATAACAATTAGAGTTACATTAGCAATTCAGCCAAGGGGTATACAGAAAAATTAAAACACAGTGATGTTTCTTTTAAAATGTATACTCTTCACAGTTTACAAAAAAAAAAAAATTAATTTAGTGGTAACACATAGCTTTTCAAAGAAATTTTATGCTATGCTTGACAAATAATGAAATGTTATGTTAATGTGTTTATGATACTATGATAACTGTGTGATTTGGTTTATTTTGAGATTTGCATTTAATGCTTAAGCAGATTTAGTTACTGGATTTTTGAACTTCTGAAAGCCTGGTTTTATCTTTGGGGGGTTTGTCTTCTGTTTTTAATTGCAGTGAAACAGCAACTTCACCAAACACCCTGGATCCAAACTGCAGTCCCAAACAGTGTTTAGGTTCTTCTTCCTTCCTGTAATTATGTGTAAATATGCTTGATCTTCATAGCTGAACAGAAATTAACTAATCTTTGCTAGTAAATGTCTTGTTTCTCTAGTATTGTAGCTTCTTGAAGATTCCCAGGATACTCTCTAAGAGATCTGTGTCATTCATATGTTCTGTTCCATGACTCTCTCTACGTTATTGACTTTTCCATTTTATTTCACAGGAGTATGACTGGAAAAAGTACCAGTCAAATAGACTGAGTTCATCTGAACTACAGATGCTGGCTAGCATGAAGAGACAGCAGAATGAAGAATTACAGGATACTGACATCTCACATGGGCTGAGTGCATCACAGATAGACAACTGCAATGTTAGCATAAGTACCACCAGTGACGACACAACCACCTGGAACTCTTGTTTCCCACCAGTAAGTCTAAACCCACAGTATTTTCTCTATATATTTTCTATCAATTCTGAGACTCGGGTGTCTTGAATATTAAAATTTCTTTCTGGAGCTTTGAAATTTAAGGTATCATTACCAAGCATTTTTGGAACTTATCAAGTAAAACACACAACCAAACTCATGCACTTCCAGCAAGGACAAAGAGTAGATCTATTTTATATATTCCTTCCTAGAACCCCGAATAATTATGTAGGCTGTACAGCTTGTCACAATAGTGGCTGACAACCTGCAGGTGTGTGATATAGTACTTTAAAATAGTTCCAAAATGAATGAAACCCAGATATACCAGTCAGCAACTGCATTACAGTGAGTAATGGAAAATAATTGCTTCTTACAATGATAAAGTCTCATTACTGAAAAGCTGTTTAAAGAACTGAAGCAGGAGAACAGCAACAAAAAGCTGCAGTAGCTCTGAGCACCTAGTATGCGATCCTTCTGTATTTTACACCTTGTATCATTATTTGTCCTGGCACAAAATGGTAAAAAGTCAGACACAGCTGCACTATGTGACAGAGCACTGTTAAAATGAGCAGAAGAGTATTTGTTACAGCCAGAATATCTGAAATCACAGAATAACATTCCAGCAACTGTATAAAGGTACTTGCAGGAGCTGCTGTAAAACTAGGTAACCTCATTATCCATTTATATACTGTCTGCATAGTTCTTATTTTATTATAGGTGAAACAATAATAAGCAATTAACGTGGCTTAAGTAAAGCACCAAACACAGTTCTCAGAGGCAGATCCCATGTTAGAGGGGTAAATGCTGCTGTGTTGCACCAATATAAACTATTGTAGAGTAAATGCTCTAAAATGTTAGGTGCAAATTACCTCCAGTCAACATTACACATTTAGCTGATTTAATCATATTTCCAGTAGGTTTCTCAGTACTCACTAAATAGACTCAAACATGGTGTAAATCTGCAAGACTGGACAAATGGAACTCAAGTAAAGAGAATAGCAGTCTCATTAATTTTTGAGTAGTTTAATTATAAGGACATTGATAAGAATATTTAGACATGTCAGATTTGGTTAATACAAATTACATGACTAAAACAAAATGAACTTTTAAAGTAAAATGTACTGCTCCAGTATTTAGTGAAGCACAGTGTGATTGCAAAGACAGTTCTTTCATCTTGCTGCCTTGATCAGCTTCTGTAGCTTCAGACTAATAGAATCAGTCTAAAAAAGTGTTTATAATAGTTTGTCATTTAAATTGTAATGTAATATAGCTGTACTTCTTAAAAAATAGTCCTTTGTGTCCATCTTTCTCTACATAAATCAACTGTAAAAGGCAACATATTTGTCTTCGAGGTTTTTCAAATTTCATTCAGTTGACCAAAGTGTTGATGTCTTACACATACAGCCTTGTCAGGTTTCTCCTCTGCATTTTGCAAGGTGGATATCGAGATTTTAAGATTTAATGCCAAGAACCTCATTTCCAAGAAGAGATAATTTAGAAAGCAAACTTAATCTTTCTTAGATAAGGACTAACCACTTAGTCCCTCACTACAACACAGAATGCTGAAATTCAGCTTCCACCCCCTTCCATACCCATGTACCTCTGCCTTTAAGGACTCTCTGTACCAGTAACTTGTCTGTTAGTCCACAGTATCTGCTGATGCACTTAATTTTTTTTTTTTTTCTTTCTGAGATAGCTGCCACAGCACCAGCTATTCATAGATGTGGTGCAATTTTTTGGCGTATGGACTTGTGTGTTAAACATTGCTTGATATAATTCTGTTCCAGTATTTGGAAAGATGCAGAGTGTTCATCTCAGAGTGATAATTCATTTTCTAGACCTTTAGTATCTAAGAAGGTTATAAACAATATTTATTAGGAAAGGTGATTATTTCATCCGCCCAATTTGTTTTAACACAGAAGCTTTTGGAAGAGTAGTTGGGAGTATTTCTGGTATGCTGGTGTTAAAATCTAGTATATTTTGATATGTTTATAACATTTCAGCAGACTGATAGTAGTGATCCTGTGCCAGTATTCAAATGGTAGCTGAAATGAAAAGACTTAATGTAGGCCAGTTAGTCTGATATCACTGTCAAAACAGTGAAAAATCTGGTGTGAGATTTTGTTAGCAGATTTAAAGGGTGGTAATATGGATAATAGTAGTCAAGATTGTTTTTCAGAAAATATGTACTGTTCAAAATATCTAAGTATATTGATAAATTTATAATTAGTAACGTAACTGCTTAGATGTAATGTGCTAAGACCATTGTACATATTTGTTTAAAAATGAGCAACAGTCAATATTGGTAAAGCAGTCAGCAGGGAATTATTTGTGAGGATATTCAGAGGGATACACTTAATGGTTCATTAGCCCTAGATCTGATGTTCAGTGTTTTTTTTAATTGTTGATCTACAATTTAATAACCTGTGATATAGATACAATCATGAGTTGATCTACTTCTTCCCTCTGGATTTCAAATCTATAAGTCTCTCAGATAAATTCATATAGCTGTTTTCAGTGAGTCCCCACACACAGCATTCACATGTGCAGTACACATGTTACTGTGTACGTAGATAACCTATACAATGCAGGGATCAAGATAAAGCCTACTTGGGGTGATTAGAACATGTTCAAAAGCTGCTTCTCCTGGATTTCAGTCTTCTACCATGCACGGTCTTGCTGTAAGACCTAAAATTGCAGAATCATACGATAGTTTTGGTTGGAAAGAACCTTTAAAGGTCATCTAGTCCAACCCCCCTGCAGTGAGCGGGGACATCTGCAACTAGATCACAGTACTGAGCGCCCAGTCCAACGTGATCTGGAATGTTTCCAGGAGCGGAGCTTCTACCACCTGTCTGGGCAACCTGGGCCAGTGTTTCACCACACTCATTGTACAAAATTTCTTCTTTATGCCTAGCTCAAATCCACCTTCTTTTAGCTTAAACAGTTATCCCTTGTTCTGTTGCAACAGGCCATGCTAAAAAGACTATTCTCATCTTTCTTTTACATCCCCTTTAAGTACTGAAGGGCCACAAAAAGGTCTCCCCTGGAGCTTCTTTTCTCTACGCTAAACAACTCCAGCTCTCTCACCCTGTCTTCATAGCAGAGGGGCTCCAGCCCTTTGATCATTCTTTGTGGCCCTCGACTGAACCTGCTCTAGCAGGTCCGTGTCTTTCCTGTGCTGAGGTCTCCAGAGCTGAAGGGACCACTCTAGGTGGGGTCTCACTCGAGCAGAGCAGAGCGGCAGAATCCCCTGCCTCGACCTGCTGGCCACACTTCTTTTGTTGCAGCCCGGGATATGATTGGTCTTCTGGGCTGCGAGCCCACATGGCTGGCTCATCTCCAGCTTTTCATCCACCCATATCCCAAATTCCTTCTCTGCGGGGCTGCTCTCAATCCTTTCATCCCCCAGCTTTAGTAAAGTCATCATTTCTTCAGCTTCCAGTTTTTACCAAGAAGCATTCTTTCTATGTATATTTATTTCTTATATATATTATGTAAAAATATATGTGTACAATAAAAGCAAATTTGTTTTTTTGTCACTGATGTTTAGCACCAGTATCATTTAAATCATGAGAATTTGCAAATGATCCGTCCTTCCAAAATCAGATTTACAATTTGCAGAAAAGTTTATAAATATCTGTAACCATCCTGCAGTTGCATAGGGAAATGATTTTAATAGTGCAGTATAGAGAAAGTAAATAGAAATAATCCTCACATTGTAGTCTGAGAAATTAAGGACAGCTTGAAATTCTTGTGATGATTAAACTTTCATGCTTACATGTGTTTTCAGGTTGTATCTTAAATCAGTAGTATCTATTGCTTTCTCTTATGTTCTTCAAAGATAAGTAAAGAGTATTTTTATTTCAAATTTTTTTCACTTCATATATTTTTGTCCCTTAGTAGAATCTGTGGCAACAGCACCACCAGAAGGCAGCTTTCTGTGTATCTGTCATTTTGAAATACCAATGATGTTTTGCAAGTCAGGGCAGGATATAATCATGTTAGTGAAGTCATGTATCAAAGTAATATTTTATATATAAAAACAAATTTGTAGTGAGTTTATTTTTTTATCACTTGCCATTGTTTGTCTGATTTCCAGGTTCATTGAAAATTCTCATGTCACTGACTAATGAGTCTAAGAAACCCTTCTGAATGTAAAGGCACATAGATCAATCATATTGTTAAGTTTCAGTTAGAACAGATGTCCTTAAACAACAATAAAACAGATATACTAAAACTGTGGTTTTATAACCTATGATAGTTTACCAAGAAGTGAATATATGCTGTCAGGAGAAGTCATTGAAATATAAGTTGTTTAGCAGCTGCTATAAACTGACAGGCAAAAAGGAATAAAATCACTTTGAACGTTATACATTACCCAGCATAGCTTTCAGTTATAAATATGAATGAAAAACTTCTATTTCAAAAATGGATTTACTTGTAAGCAGAGTTTTTAAACCCTGGTAAAATGTGTGGGGCACAGCTCCAAATCAATAATATATGTATGTAGAACTAAGTATTTTAAAAGACTTTATCTGACTGTATCTTGTATAAATGCTTTCTTAAATCTTAAGGTCTATGAAACTCCACATTAGCTTTGCAACAATATGAAAGACACAGTTGCAGAGGATAAGTGAAGTTTATACCCACACATATACACATTATTCAAGAAAACTTGCAAAGCTTACAAAATATTTCTCCTTAAAATGCCTTGCTTTATTCTAGAGATCCAGCAAGACCTTCCTGCCCTGAGAGGGAATTGGCACATTCAGCTTCTTGGATAACTGTTACCACACTTCAGACATACAACAAACATTTGGGAGAAAGATCATATATAAGAGAATTCAGGATGTCTTATCACATATGGTCCCTGACCTTCAGTCAGAAGAGTGCAAAGGAGAAAGAAGATTCTCCTGGATTGCTCACTGATACATCCTAGAAGCTTGCAGTGGTGTAATGCTCCATTAGCAGACTCCAAAATATGCTCACCACTAAGACTTGTCTTTCAAATAAGGAGCTCTCAGAGGAGGAAGATTACTCATTCCCCAAGCAACTTCCTAAATATCATTTCAGTCACACAGGCCTTGATCTGCAAAATATTTGAGAGTACTTCCAGACTTATACCTCATTTGTGGAAGGTCTTCTGGCCTCCTTTGTAATGTTTCAGAAAAGAAAGCCACTTAACACAAAAATGGTCTGGCAGAACTGAAGTCTGACAGACAAGAGGAGTGATACTTAAACCCAGAATTATTCCAACTGAGAGCTCAGCTTGACAACCCCTGGAGGGATCTGTTCACATCAAGTCAAATTGCAAAACTGAGGCAGACTATCCTTTATAACGAAATGAGACTAAAAATTATTTAGACAGATATTCTGGTGCATAGACTGACTAATTCACTTTCTGTCTCATCTTCAGTCTTCCACTAGCCATCATCTGGGAACTGCTATCCACTACCAGGCAGTGACTCACATTTGGCAGTAATTAGGATGTCTTTCATCCTGAACATCTATTTTACCACATCCCTCCCCACTTCCTGAAACCATGAGAACATACTCATTTTTATATTGATTTCTCTCTCTCAAAAAAAAAAAGCAATTACTTTCATAATGCTCAGTATTTATTTTTAGCATTCCATGTGCTAAATTGTGCAGGTATTGCTAATGGACACTTGTATTCTCACTTCTTTTGCATTTGCTTCAGTGATTTGTTTTGAATGGCTTTTGAGATGTGTGATAATGTCAAGGGGAGGGGAGTCTCTTTTGGAAGCACTACATGTACTGAGATAAAATGTCTGAGTGTTAGAATTCTTGAATTTTTATATCAGATATCAGTTTATGAATATTGATATTTCTTGCAAATAACTGGTTTTAATACCATAAACCAACTGTAGTTTGAAACCTTTGGGACACATTCTTACAATGGGTAGGTAAGATCTGAAGCCTGTGGAAAACTATCTTCCTTTGTCTGAATATTTATACAGTCCACCATTCATGAACAGCTTAATCCAGGTTTCAAATTGGCAGTGCCGTAGAAAATTGCATGTACTTCAACAAACTTCTTTTGGGACTGCTAAGATTACTGTTGATGGTGCCTCTGGGGAGAGAGGAACCATTCCTGCCAGCCCTATTAGCTCTGGCTCAGTGTTGTCATAAGAATGTTTGGTCCTGCACAGATCCTGCTAAGACTTCCTGCACTATGCTTCCTATGCAGGTACATTCCAGGCTTTTCTATCAGACAAGTGTTTGCCATCCTTCCCTCTCTGAAGTTTCCTGACTGTTCCAACACTCTCACAGGCAGCAGAGAAATGACCATGTGATCAACTCCTTAATTCCTATGTATTTCCACCCAGAGAAGAGTCATCTGTTAAGTTTTTGCACAGTTAAGATATGAGTATCCATCCTAAATTTCACAAATAAGAAAAAAAAAAAAAATTCCAATATCAGAAGCTGCAAATGTTTATGCTCATAGAAGATCTCTCACATACTTCTAAACATTCTGAAAGAATATTTGCAAAATTATTTTCTCACTATTATTTTTTGTTTTCCATAGCCCATCAGTCAGGAGCATCACTATCAGAAAGAAATGAGCCCACTTTCTCCTTCCAACCCACGGTAAGATTCCATTAATAGCCCAGGCAGCAAGGCTTCAGTTAGAGTGTTGTGAATATTAAATGTGACATTCTTTGATTTAGTCTTAAATCTCTTCTCAGCTCTCAGAGGGCTTTACTATTGCTCATTTTAGTCATTTGCTGTGGTATGTCTGCATTGTCCTGGAACACTGAACTGAATTCTGTGTGTTTTGGATGTACCAGTGTGTATTTAAAGTGACTGACATAAGCCTTGCTCCTACACCTGCTTTGATGCATGATTCAGCAAATCTTCCTTATCTGACATACATAGGCTCTCACCTGTTTTGTTCTCCCTCTCTGCTTTGAAGGCTTGGAACTACAATTCTCTATGTGACTGGAGGTATCAAGGAATCTATTTGCTACAAAAGATTTTAATGTTTCTTATTTAGACAGGTGTTTTCAATAGATAGCCCAGTCAGGAGAGGGTGTAACAGCACTGTGGGATAGTTCAAAGGGATCTTGTCTGCAACATATTTTGGCTCTCAAGTTTTTAGCTTGATCTGTTTTGTTTGGAATCTGCAATAAAGTCCCTGTGACTTTAATGTAAGGTGAGATGAAGACAAGAGGAGGTGGTGGCTAGGGAGAAATAATCAAATCTGGGAGAATCAAAATTAATTGTCCAGTTTCAGAACCACTTTGTACCTGTGAAACCCTAACATCATTTTGTCACTTTTTTTAAACAGCCTGAACAGGAGATACACTTATTTTGAGAAGTAGTCCCATTTACTTTCACTTGGTGTCATGAATGTGGATTTTGCTTGTCCAAGCTTTAGGCAGACAATGTATGCATGTTGAGAGGGACAGGAGAGGACATTTCAGATACAACTTCTTTACCAACAGCCTAAAATGTTTTATGTTAGCTCACTGTCAGTCAGTTGTGCAGGTTAATATGCATTTCCTCTCACACACATCTTTTCAGTCACTTGTCTCACTTGCCATCAACAATTTTTATGTATTTAAAATCTTCTTGTTAGATTTTATGAAGTGAACTCTATGAAACTTGCTGTGTAAATTCACCCAGATGGATCAGTTACTGCAACACGCAGCCGTTTGTTTCCTGGTACACACCATATATCCCTGGAGTTAAAGCGTAATCCTGGATTCCTGTTCCCTTTCACATGTAAATCAAAGGGCTTATGGTGTCTAGAAAACCTCTCTGCATTGGGTGCTGGTTGCCAAATGAACTATCTCTATCCTTATGAATTGTTACAATGGATGAAGTGGGCAGAGACTCTTGATTGTAGTCCAGAGATTAAGATAAAATACCTTGTGATTGACACTTTGGACTCTTTATTCTAGAACTGATTTCATAATTCTGATGGCATTAGAATTGCCTGTATTCTAGTGCAAGCTACATTTTGTCTTCTCTTTTCCCCATACATTGGTTGTGTCAGGTTTTATTAAGTTGTTTTTATGTATGTTCTAAAGCAATTTGGTATTCAGTACATTTTACATACTGAAAAACAGAGTAAACACCATTATCTGTAAAAATAGTGTTTAATAATATCAAGTTAATATGATTGACAATGAATACTTGTATTTCCATATAATCAAATTTAAAACATAGTAGTATAGATTACTGCCTGGTTCTTATGCTATTTTAATCCAGTACACATAGTTGACTGAAATGTTTCTAGAAATAATTTTGGAGAAATGCAGGCAATGTGTTCATAAACTACCTGACTTGCAAGTGCCTCATAAATTCAGTAGCCCTCGTGAACTACCAGAAAAGCATTATTGGACTGTAAATTCAGAAGATGACAAAATTATGAGGTAAGTTTGCATTATGATATAAAAACTGGAGGTTATGTGACTTGAATATCATTATTCACATCATTACCTTTCATTTATAATGGAAAACTCTAATGTTTTTCACAGAGGGTATGTACCTAAATGAGAGAGAAATGAATTTAATAGTAATTCTGTAACTTAGTTCCTAAACTGTTATTAAAGCTGATTTTAAGAAGTATTGTATGAACAATTGGAAAACATCTAAATCTTTGTAAGCCTAATGTAGCTATATATAGGAACACATGGAATATTTGAAAAATGGATATATCCTACGTAAATGAGTGGGTATAAATGCCATGATATGAAGACAATTACATGATGTACTTACTGAAACAACAAATAGTTTCTTGTAAAGAGTGATAGAGAACTTGACAGGTCTCAAGTAACTTTTAAAAGTGTAGTAGTGATATTTTCTGGGAAATGAAAGGAGAACAATGTGGACTCTATTGTCCAGTAAATGTAGCTTCTGTCCGTAATAAGATAAAAGAACAGGCCAGGAAAGAAAACACCTGTGAAGATAATGGAAATACAGTCAATAAAAAGACCCAGCTAGACTTATTTTCCATTGGTTCCACTGGGTAAAGGTCATAAGTCTGCCAAGAACATTGCTGCTGCAGTACAAATCACCTCCACATCATGCTGCTTTGCAAGTGTAGAACCAGTTAATGAAAGGAGACAGGCTGACTGCAGAGGCTGCAGAGCCAGATGGGCAAGATGCTGTGCAGAGTTTCAAGACTTAGCTCTGCACTCCCACTGACAGTGCTGCATGATCCTAGCTGAGCTTCAGAACTGCTCTCTTCTCTCCAAAGAGGAACCTGTAGCTATCCATGTTACTCCTTCCTCCAGTGCAGGGACTTAAAATTTCTATATACCCTGCACCTCCTTAGTAAGTATTTGTCCTCCAAAATTTGTGTGTCATAGAAGGTTTAGAAGCTTCATTAAAGGAAATTCTGAAAGAAAGCAAATATTCTAGAGAAATTTCAGCCATACTGAACTGCAAAATGTAGAATTGCTCTCTGAAGAATATCACTTAAACCTAGTCTGAGTAGTAGATTTTTCTGAACTTCTACAGACACTCTTCAGAAAATTTATTTCAAATAAACGCTGATTTTTCCATCTTTGAGAGAGGATCTTTATGTAAGTTGAAACCTATCTTTATAAGTATTGCTTCACTAGATTCTCTCTTGGCATCCTACTCAGTTCATCCCAAGCTACTAAATAAAATTTGTACCTCTGAAATTCAAACAGCTGTTCCCCAAAAACTGCACTAAAGTATGACACATATTTTAGCATTTCATTTGGTAACCTTTCATAAGAACTATATTTTACTTGAATAATTTCATACAAAATGTACACAGCCAAGTTTTCAGTTAGATTTTAGATATTACCCAGACATTTAACTCTAGAAGTTTAAAAAAAAATAAATTCTATTCCCATAGTGAATTGTTGGCACACAATTTGATGCTTGTAAATGTCTGCCTGATTTGGACTAGAGCCAAGAATAAGATCTGCACAAAAACCATCATTTTACAAGAAATTCTATTGATCAATGGTCTTAAACTAAAGAGTGAGTGGTGCAGATGGTTTTCATTCACAAATAAAAATTATTAAACTGAAGTTTAATTTGTTGTCTCTTTTAGTGGCTGGTGGGTTTCATATCTAAAATCAACAACCTTCCCAAACTACTGTATATATAGGACTGCCTTCTGCTGACTACTTGCCCAACTAAGAAGGATATTATCATCAACAGGCAAACCAACAGCTAAAGTCCTCCCTCCACTCTTAAATCATACACCAGGAAGCCAATGTGCCAAACCACTGTAAGGAAGAATAAGTCAATACATTTACTCACAGCATAGGATGAGCAGAAGGGAGCAAGCAGACTCACAAACTGTGCCATGGGAGATAGAAGGAGACAGGTCCAATCCCAGTCATATCATAACTGCCAGGAGAGAAACTCATCATCTTACCCAGCCATCCCAGGAGCTCCACTCCCTATGAAGAGTCAGGAGCCCTTTCAATAGCCAGAACCCCACACAACACATGGACTGCAGGCAAACCACCCAACTGCACTGCAAGCAGAGTCAGTTCTTATAGAGGTGGCTTCTTGCCCCACCTCCAAGTTAATGTGGAAGGTAGGGGCACCTGGTGGTGATCTCCATCAGTTCCCCCCCAAGGCTGGCCAGTCCTTGGGTGAAAACCAGTCAGGAGGATCCTGGTTGTGGACATCATCCATATGCCAACTCTCATTCAGGGCTGGGGGTTTAACCCCAGCACTTCAGACTGACAGTTTTTCTGAGGGTAGTTGGAACTTGCAGAAGTTAGTGAGCATATCTGTCAATTAAAATTATCCTTTGAAGTATTGTCTGTGCCTGTGCTGTGGGCTTGGTCAGGTTTACCTGCACAGAATCACCAGGAGTCAGTAGAACTGTGCTCCCTCCTCAGATCCACATCCATCTCCTCTGTGCTGCTGGAAGGTCATGCTTGCCAGCCTGGTGTGTGGAGATGCGTGTATGCATCTCTACCTAGTGCACCCTACCCCTTCAGCCTTATGTGTTGGTGTTCACCCCACCTGATGGATGATCATGACCCAAGGTGGGGACAGGAGTGGAGTCTTAAGCCTCCTTGCTGATACTGAGGGCCCATCTGTAGCTGATGTGGATAGTAAGCCCCAAATTTCCAGCAAGAATCTGAAGAAGCGATGAGGTGTCATTTGTGATGCCCATATACCCTTCCCAGTGTCTTGTTCTTCTCCATGACCCTCTGACCTGCATCCATGGAGATTATTATCTCCATAGGTTCTGCTATGAAAAGTGAATGCTACGGTTGCTCTGAAGTGGTAGGATTCAGGACCACCCTCATCCAGTCCAGTAGCTAACTTGTAAAATAAATTTATCTGCTCTGCACATGCAAGTCATTTTCCTCTTCATCGGGAATTTTCCTGTTTAAACTAGATTCCATCAGTGCATTTGTTGTGAATAAAAGAGAAACCTTAAAATGAAGGAGCATACAAGGTCGCCAGAGTTTCAAGGAAAAGTAATGCTATTATGAAGTGTTTACTAAAATAGCTAAATGGAAATATGATGCAATTCAGGCCAGAATTTTGTCTAGATTTATGTTTTATCTATAAAAAAATATCACCACTGTACTGTGGTTTAAGTCCTTTGTAGCTTTGCCACTTGTGGTTGTAAT